AAATAGCATCTTTATTTTCCGAGTGCAGTTTCTAAAATTAAAGCACAGTCACTAACAGCCAATCTTCAATTTGAAACACTCGTAAACACGGAATGAATTTATTATTAAAAATTATCACCAGAACATTTTAGCTGTCGGTGTTGCACATAAATGAGAGAAATTTCAGCGATATTTTCAATTGTTCGAAATTATTTAGAAATATACATTTTCCAGCAAATGTATAGCTACATTTATAGTCTAAATTTGGTCGAAAAACTCGTCGACCATCCCCCTCCAATAAATTGCTATTTATACGCAAAGCTACTTCTTATAGACTCCTATAAGGAGATGGAGAAAGAAAATATGTTTACATGTATTTTTTTCTATTCTTTTTTTCATAAAGTCCGAGAAATACATTGCTGTTTGGACAGGAGTAAATATCTGCCATTTAATTTGTATATATTGTTTTTTTTTAAGAAACGGAGAAATATTTTCATACAATTTCTTGTGTGTGAAATTGATTGACCTTTTGACAAAAGAAGAAAATGTAAAATGCTTAAAATAAAAAGGCATAAGACAATGTTGAATTTCATATCCCAACGGGAAAGAGGGTGTTGCAGAAACTCGTGATTATTCCCTATATCGAGAAGGACATTTAAATACCACGACGCATGAAGAGTGATGTGCTACGCAGACGACTTAATTTATACGACGGGTATGCCCAGCTTGTTATAACAAAACATTTAACATTACGTTTATTTCTTGCATAGTTTTTCCTAACATAGACTGGCGACTTGTAAGTAAACTTTTTTTCACATCTATGGTCACTGTCGCCAATTTGCACGAGAAAAGTTAGAACGATAAAAAGCAAAATTAATGGCAAGTGCACCTCGCACATCATTTTGAAAGATGTACTGTAGACAGCGTGCGTTAATATTTTTCAATATATATAAAAATGTGTCCAATAATCACGCTGTCGATGCAATATCCAAGAAATTCCATTGAGTCATTTCAATTGTAGTTGTTTCAAATCAAATCTGAGCCACTAATTAACAGAACAATAATGAAACGAAATGCGTATGAAAAATTAAATTATTTAAAATGATAGTACTTTATTTTTTAAGACATCGCCACTAGATAATTACATTAGATATATATCTTATTACTTTTAGATCACAATATCAAGGAAAACAATTTAATTCTGCATGCATTTAAAATATTACCCGTTAATTTTCTGACATTCTCTCCCTCTCTCTTTCTCTCTCAAGAGATTTGTTACATTGTACTTCCATTATATAAAAAAAAATATGCATATAGATACCAGCCATTCTGGGATTCGAACCCATTCTCAGGTAAAACAATCTTTGCATAGAGTCCACACTCTTTACCACTAGACCAGCTCCGACAGTGAAGTATTATGTGCTATTTTATGTGGACATTTTGCATTTCGGATGGATTATAATTTTTATTCGATTTTTGTGATTTTCAAAAATATGCCTCTTTGAAACAAAAATCGGAAATGGCAGTTTTGAAGAAAAATCCCGTCTCTTTATGCGTAATCAAATTCATTCTGTTTCAAGGAGGCAATTTTTCAGAAAAATGGGGATTCCCTATTTGAAAAACAGAATACTTGACTTATTTTGCTATGTGACTAATTTATAATTCATTTAATGGCAAATTGGAAGTCGATATGCAGTTTCTAAATATTGTTCTACATTGTGCTGTATATACCGTTGTATCTGAAAAAAATTTAAGACCGTTTTCTGTTACTTAAAATTTTTCTTTTAAACTGCTACAACTTGAGGGAAATTAACAAAAGAACTGCAACACCCTCTTTTCATGACTCACAGGTTTGATTATGTATTTAACAACTGTGCTCGCCCTAGCGAAGCCGCACTGTCAAGATATTGCTTAAATTCCAATACAACAGGCAATTTAAATTCAAAGTAATTCTGAATGAATTTCAAATTGCAACATGCTTAGCGCTCCCCAGTACTTTCAGTACTTTGATTTTTTAAAGATTTGATGTTTCTTTGATCTGTATCTAAACGCCTATTTCATAGTATAGGTCATCTGTAAAATATGTTCTGAATACATAGTAATTCAGATTAGCAATGAAATACATGTACCCTAAACAGTGCATAGGTGGGGTATATCCAGGGTTGTCGTTCCTTGACACTAAGTGTGAAAACGGTAAAAATCGGGGGGGGGGGGGGGGGGGTAGAGACATGCTGTTCACTTCCACAAAAAGAAGTCTTTATTGCTTGGTTAGAAGGACCATTCAAGAATTCGGTAACAAGTAAACAGGAGACTCTAATTAAAGATTAGCTCATTAATTATAAACATCCCTACATATGTGTTCAGAATCCTTTATGATAATGTCCAAGGAGTTCCTATTAACTCTGGCTAGACTACTTCGAGACTCTATGAGACTGTTAATGGAAAACTTAAATTATTCACGGAAGTATAGCCAGGAAGTAGAGCTGCATTGACTGACACTAGATACATGATATAAAGAAAAATTATATGATGATGCAGTTTTCATCGCTGTACACTGTTTCTCTCCAGGATCTTCAATCATTAGTCATGTTTTTATACCATTTATTACATTTTCAACCCTTGAAATACTGTAATTTATTTATTGAATAAAAGTGATATTCTGACACAGTGTGAAAGGGTATCAAAATGGTATTCTCACAGTGTGAGAATAGCATAAGTGCGGCAAAACTCTCGATTTTCCTTTCCTTCACGAAGAGTGTTTTAAAAAAATCCCTGGCCTTTTATAAAGAGAGTAAATGAACCATCGTGACAGAAACTAAAACTGCCAAAGTTTCTCCAAATATGTTGTTAAAAATCCATGCTTATAACGCTTTTCAATCTTTCAATCGCTTAGCCATGACGTCTCAACCGCTCAACTATGACGTCACAGCCTATGACACTGTGTTACGAAAAGACAGAGGCAAAGGGAAAATCAAAGAAAATGTAATAAATAGAAAATTCAATGTTTTGTAGATGAATATGGAATTTATTTCACGAGTGGGACAGGATTTTTTTAAAAATATTTTTCACTCTTGCTTCGCACTCGTGAAAATATCAAAAAATCCTGTCCCACTCGTGAAATAAATTCCATATTCATCTACAAAACATTGAATATCCTCGCTATCTTAAATAATCTCTCCATTGGCACCCGTAAATAAGTGTATATGTAGACATTTTTGAACCAATTATTTATGGAGATATCATCCAAGAGTAGATAGAGAAAATGGCTAACACAAGTTGTGCGGATATCCTAATTTTAAATCCAGTGTTTCAAGTAAAATGTAAAAAAAAAAAAAAAAAAAAAAAAAAAAAAAAAAAAAGGAGGAAAGTAAAATGTAAAAATATAAAATGTTATAATCGCACTTTGTTATAATTTGCGTTGTTACAGTCCAGTGTAGTAATGGTTTTATTATTTACTATGCATTAATTTTTTGAATTATTAAACCATTCCATTGATGTTGTACATACATTTATATTGGTAAGAGCTTATGTGCAATGCAAATACTTTTCGTTGATTGAGTTAATAAATACAGTTAGATAGCAACCTTGCAGAATTAATACAAGTATAAAACAGTGCGTTAACCTGGATGATATGTAGGTGTTAAAGCATAGACGATTGGGTAGAATAGACTAATTGGTGTTACGCAAGATATGTTAATTAGCTACATAATGTAACTTTGCTTGTACATGCCTTACAGAAAATTTCGGTTGAAACATGGCCATATAGTACATACTTTATTTAGGTGGGGTTGGGGGTTGGTGGGATGTATTGATTTCTGTTTAAAGCATGAAATCTATACGATAAACTGGCCAACACACATACTATGTACAATCACTTGCGGCTCTCGCCCCCCTCCCTTTGTAACCAAAACTATTCATAAGATTAATCAATTAATTGCATTAATTTTACATAAAGTATAGCTAAAATAGGTCGAAAAAAATGTTCCTAAGGACTTCCGGGGGTTTCGCCCGCTGGGCCCCACCACAGACCCCGAACTTTTTGCCCTCCCCCTTCAAGAAACATGGATCCGCCACTGACACTTATCATACAGATATATTCTTTATAAGATTTATAGTGTCATTATATATTTTTACAAAGTAAACAAACCGAAACAGTTTTTGATATAATTTGGAAAGTGCTTAGTGCATTTGGATGTATTTGCATCTGGACTATGTGTACATGAACCATGCGACTTTTTCTACGATATCCACCCCCTTTTCCCTCCCCCACCATTCCCCTATTGATTAAAGGTAATGGCATAACAATTTGGGGATAAAATGAGCCTTTTATGTTCACAGGTGCGTCCTAGTCCTCACATGAAGTAGCCTTTTCGGGGTTTTGTTACCTCCTTTCTTTTTCAGAATATGTGTCTATTTCTTTGAATTTTTCACTTTTTGGAAAACTTTCATGTCCTTTAACATATACTTTTATAACCCGCCTCCCCCGTTCTATCAAATCTTAATGGTCACCTGAGCACCATGAGTTTAATTGGCTATTAGAAATTCTGTCCCACCTGGGACTAGAACAGCCCTGGACTCATGAGACATAGATTTTACATTCTAATGGGATTCTATCTTCATTATGACATGAAGTTAGTCTCATTGATGCTCAAGATTATAGGGACGATTTTCAAAATGCTCGAGCTTTTGGGGATAAAAATTTCATAATTTAGTAAACAGCTCATAGCTTAATATTGCCATCATGCATACAGTCCGCTAGTCCAGCAAAAATAAGATTTTATGGGGTAATCTGTACAATATATTTTTAATATACAACAACCAATTTATATTTATCCAGATCCTGAATTCTGAAAGCATTACCAGTCAACTACTTGTAGAAGGTTCAGTCTGCCTGCTTAAAAATATGGAAAGTTTCTTTTCACTATAGCTGAAAGACCAACTCCTTCCCCATATCTCCCCTTTCCATGGAACAAGAATTGGGCCTTTTTGACTTTGTTTTATGATTTTGTTTTTCAATAAATATGGGAGAACAATGCACCAAAGTAGGGATGGGGTCAATACACACACCATCCCCTTGGACATCTCATGTTCTACTTTTAGCCCTCCTGTCCTTTCTTTGGACCACTTTCAAAAACGCTTGGTGGCGTTTAAAGTCAAACAATGAAGCCCAAAGACTTTGACGGTAACTTAAATTGAGCATCATGGCGTTTCTTTGGCTGTGAGTAACTATACATGTATCCTTATAATTAAACCAGTTGTGTGCAGTACCTTTTAATTTGCAACAGACAGTCAGAGAAGAGAGAACGGGAATTCGATGGTACTTCACCACTATGCTTCAAGACCTCGACTTTGTGGACGACATTGCCCTTCAATCATCAACAATGAACCATCTTCAATCCAAGACGACAAAACTGGAAGACAACTCAGCAAAAGTTGGGATGAAGCTGAATGCCAAGAAGTGTAAAGTGATGAAGATAAACAACAAGAGTGAATCCAGCCTGATAGTCGGAAGCAGTGAAACCGAAGAGGTGGACAGCTTCACTTACCTAGGCGCCAATGTCACCAAGGATGGGTGAAGGTACTGCTGACATCAGGAAGAGGATAGAGTTGGCTGGCGCATCCTTCAGGAGGCTAGCCAACATCTAGAAGGCCACATACATTAGTAGAAAGATCAGTCTCAAGAGCCTTGTCCTCTCTGTATTGTTATACGGATGTGAGACTTGGAAGCTACCAAGTCAGAGGAAAAGAAGATTGACATCTTTCAGACTAAGTGCCTCAGAAGGATTCTCAAGGTCAGATGGCAGCAGCATATCTCTAACAAGACAGTTCTGGAGATGACGGGAGCAGAAAGCATCAGTGGCGAGGTGAGGAGGAGGAGATGGTATTGGATCGGCCATGTACTGAGAAAGGATCCAACAGATGACTGTGTTGTGGCCCTCGGGTGGACGTCTGAGGGGAGAAGGAAGCGAGACCGCCCCAAGACAACATGGCGGCGGATGGTGAAGGTGAAGCGTTGATGCAGGCTAGAAGTCTTGGAACACGGCACGCCGTGCAGCCTCGGACCGGCCCCAGTATAAGAGAGATGTCAGGCCTTGTGTGCCTTCTGGCACGGAGAGAATTAAGGTTAAGGTAAGGATCTTTTGTATTCTTTACAAACGAAACCTATGTGGATTTTCACACGTGGTCGGGTATAAATTATATAAAATACTCGTACTTCTATTCATAGTTTACCGATAGATTAGAGCGAGTTAGGAAAGAAGGGGCTCCTTCAAGTCCCCAAAACAATAGACGATTTCAATAAATTTAAAAATAAGTTACCGGTGATGATTTGCTGATTAAATACAGGAAACTGCAGGCGCGGGTCCGGAATTTTATTTCTTGGGAAGAGGGGTCCACCCCAGTCAAAAAATTCCCAACCCAGAATTTTCTAGACAAGCGAAAAAAAAAAGTAAAGTCCATTCCCAAACGTGAAAAAAAAAAACAAACCTTTTCGTGCTGCTGCTGGTGGTGTCCACGTTTTTCAGAGGTGGGGGTAGGGTGGGGTTCCAAAGTCATTTTTATTTGCTTAGTACATGTATACACATTTAAAAATAATAAATCTACGTTTTCCAGGGGGGGGGGGGGGGTGGTCCGGAACCCCCTAGATGTGCACATGAACTATGAGCAAGCAGCTTGTGAAAACGAAATAAGGATGGAGGAGCCATGTCGCCCTAAAGACGTCATCATAATAAAAAGGAAATTAAGAGAGTTTGTGATCTCGCCCTCAATGACAGAAGTGATAGCGTTATACTAGTGCCGACAGTGATGCATATGATGAATTAGTCCCCCCCCCCCCCTCCACGGCTGATTATTTAACCTTGCTCGTGCGTTGTTAATCTATTAAGAGTCATTCTATCGATCTTTTACAATAATATATCAGACTTTTGTGATTCCATGACATATTATGGAATTCGTCGAAACTCTTTCATCCCCTCTATCAATTTATAATTTTTATAGATGCATGTATCCCATTATAATTCTTTGTGCACATGTACACCTGACCAAGAGCAATAATGTATTGATAATGTAAATATTCATTTATGCACAAATTTAAACAGTTGTTCTATTTAAAACATTGCAAAGAATTTAACAGTATTGTTTAGTACATATAATGCATTTGATAAATTTGAAAAATTCAATTTAAATAAATTTATGTACTTTTAATATATTCTTTTCAATAAAAATATGCAAATTATACACTTTTATAAATAATATTTTAAAAATATGAGTAGATTATCTCTTAATTGGAGTAAAACATGATTAAATCTTCTGAAAATAATACTCGATTTAATTGATTTATAACAATGATCAATAAATAAAAAATGTATGAAAAAAATTAAATACAGTTATTAAGTGTCAACAAGGTCAGATAATTGTAGAGGTAATTGGAAAAGGTTATAATAATCAATGAAAGCGCGCCAAAATTATACTCAATATTAAGACATTTTTATTAAATAAAAATTATATCGTTCTCTCTCTTTCGGTAAAATACAATTGCATCTTTGTGTTAATATGCTGTAAGATGTTTGTCTTTTGCAATAAAGAAAATGAACTGGAAAATAATTTAAAAAACACACATTTATGAATTTTGAGGATTTGAAAGTAGGTAAACTGGTAAATGTATAATGTCTGAACTGCATGCAAAGTCCCATCTTGAAAATTGTAAAGACCCCCCCCCCCCATTTGTGATTCTACATCCCACAAATAGAGTCTGTTTTTTAGAGATAAATTTTCTCATAATAAGGTGGTTAAAAAATCTTAATATTTGACGATCCCATGCTAATAATATTTATACCAGGGAATTTTCTACAGTTTTGCCATCGATTTTTCTCAATGGAAACAAAACTATTTGTGTCAATAACCATTGATTTCTACGCTATGAATTGAGTTCCAGTAGATATATTTGGATTTCCACTAATTAAAAAAGAATGTTGTCAGACGATCATCAAACAAGATTTAAAAACTAAGAACGGAATTCCTATCTGTGACGTAAGGGCGGGTACCTGTTCTGGGGAAGCGTGACGTATCGGGGTTGTATACACAAAACGACCACGCAGAGTGATAGCGCGATCGATAGAGATTACACTTTACGACAATTTCGATTTGTGACGTCATGGATGCTGGGATGAATATTCAATATCGAGTCTGCCATTTTGGATCCATAATAGGAAAAAGCGATTTGACCATATTGTAAAATTCTTTACCCTTTTTAACGGCCTTTTCGGGTTCTTGGACCGATCCTAACCATGAGGGAGTGATGAGGACCAGACTGTGGGGAATTTGGGGGATCGTCTTGGGCTTAATTTTGCCCGGGAACAGCTTCAGTTACGGCTATCCCCAAGATTCAGTGTATCCGTTAGGAACAGTTGGTATGTATGTCAAACGAGAGAGAGATTTATATTATTTAAAATCATAAAAACGAGTGATAGGCCAGAAAGGTAAATTTTTATACGAGATAAGAGTGTTCCCGACGAGCACCTGTTGAATGAAGATATTCAGGGGAAATGTCAAAAGACCATGCAGTATGTTGTACAAATAAAATTACCGTATGGATTCTTACTATGAGGCCATATTGAGTAAAACACTTCTGTTTGTAAAATAAATATATATACAAATCATAGGGGAAAATTGTTATATGACATTAATTTATTTCAAATTATAGGTAGAATTTCATAAAAAAGTTTTAATATTGTCATATATATACAAGTACACAAAATACATTATGGTCTTTGCATGTGGTATTCATCATGTTCATACTGTGCATTTATTTGTTGTATGATTCTGAAGAAAAGGGAATAGAACTGTTTTTAGACATAATTGATAATTAAAGGAAGTGCTTCATGCTTCTTAGAGTCTACCCCCTGTACATGAAGAAGAAAAAAAAGGTGTCTGTCAAATAATTACAGTTGAACTTAGGTATCTTGAACACCGATATCTCAAATACCATGGATATGTCGAAGTCATCAAGAAGTCCCAATCATGTTTTCTCTCTGTAATAGTGATGTAATTTATCTTCAATATCTTGAACCGTTGGATATATCTCAAAGTTTTTTCTTGGTCCCGTTGAGATCGAAATAATGAAGTTTGACTGTAATATGAAGAGAGATCATTAGAATTGTAAAGAAGTGTTCAAGATATACATGATATAATTACAATTACTGCATGTATTCGAAACTGTGACAGAGAAAATAGCATTGTACTTATATACATGTCTTTTTAAAGTTTCAACATGTTCAAGTGGGGTGAATTAAAGCTAACAATTTTCAACTTTGGGAGATTGGATTAGGTTGATCGAGGGAGGGGTATATTAAGGGAAAATACAGAAATTTTGAAGTAAGGGTGAAAGAAAAGAACAAGAAATAAAGAGAAAATTTAATGAATCAGGGCTCTTGATTGTCTACATTTACATGGGCCATTCAAAGGTCCCATTCCCAATTCAAAAAAGGTACAATTTTCCCCAATTGAAGGTGCTCATTTTCCCAGTAAACACTCTCTCCAAGATTTAAGAACATACAGTAAGATACATAAACTTTAAGACTGAACTTTTTATCATACAGGGTTCAAAATTCACTATATACAACTCACAAAATGCGAGTTAGAATATCCAAATTGCGAGTTAAAAATTTTGTTACTCACAAAAAAATGCGAGTTGATTTTTTTTTTAATGTAAATTTCACCTGGGAAAAAAATATCCGTTTCAATCCAGTTTTAATCTTTCTCTCTTTAGTTACTGTTTATATCTGTCATTTTTAAATGAACGACCATGTGCCATGTCCGATGATCTTGTCGAAAAATTTTTAGAAGATGGATAGATGGCTGCATCGGCATTTTTTTTCTTAAAAAGCTTTCATTTTAAAATTGAGAGTTGTGTTTTGAAATTGCGAGTTCATTTTTCTGGTACTCACAATTATTTGCGAGTTGTAATTTTAGGGAGTTTCTACCCCAGTCATATTCCTCTAATAAACAGAAAAAAAAATTATGTTTATTAATAATAAACACCAGAAACCCATTAATGTACAATGATTTTAAATAAATGTATAATAATTTTCCCAAAATTCCCTAAGAGATTGCTAATTTTCCCAAATTTTATGGCCAAGGTCCCAGTCCCAAAGTCAGGTGTGAGAGGTCTATGAATGAAGCTTGTGAAAGATGGGGAGAAAAGCACCCCTTTCCTTACATACTCATGAAGACAAACAAAATGTACACTACTCCAAAATTCACAATTATAACCACATGCAGGTTCATCAGAGGTGATACGTCCTGTATAAATTGGAAAACTCTTAGTCATTTTACCAGCTTTTCGTAAATGGCCTGTTGCAGGATGATTGTTTCCTTTGAAGAGAAATCAATAAAAACTTAATTGACAAAATACCGGTATGCTTTCATGGTCCCACACATATCGGTTAAACATATCATCTATAGCTGTGTATCTCTAATAGATGGAGTCAGTCAGATAAATTCGTGTCTTATTAAGGGTCATTGATCTTTGAACTTAATTTCCATCTTTTTTCTCTTGATTATGTTTTGACAGTAAATCTTTTTATTGTGGTCCTTTGGATAAGATTGTGTATAAACTGATGTCCTGTGTCACAGTAGATGTTGGCACAAAAAATATCCCTCACCTCTTAATGGCCGTAAGTGCCAAGTACATGCAGTTCTATGCCCTGTTCACACGGAGAGTTTAATGCGCAGTAAATTAATGCAAAGTAAAATGATGGGAATTAAACTAATGCTAATTAAATTGCATTCACACCACAGCTAATGCAAGTAAACTAATGCGAATTATAATTTTATTTCTGTACAACAAGTCTATTCGGTGAGGCTATTATGACATCATTTACAAATCACGTCATATTGTGCAGAGCAGATCCATTTGACATAACGTCATAGTGTCTGTACACATTTTAGTGATTAACATAATTTTCCTTTGTTTTCCACTCAAAAATAGCACAAGTACCTAAATTTGACCATCGACATGTGGCCTGTGACTTAATTCTGCCCTTACGCTTGCGTCAAAATTAAATTCGAATTAGCTTTGCTTAGCGTTCACACGGAGCTAATGTGAAGTAATTTAATGCGCAGTAAACTAATTTGAATTAAACTAATTCGCGTTAAATTCTCGGTGTGAACGCGGATGAAATTTAATTCGCAGTAACTTACGTTTAATTCGAATTAAACTTTCCATGTGAACAGGGCATTAAATTTGCAGCCATCCACTAACAGTTGGTGTCATGAATGAAAAATTCTACAAGTGATGTAAAGCAATCAAACAACCATCTGACTTAATTCTGTGTTACTTTATACTTCATGTTATCAAAGTAATCAGTATGGTGAATTTTTTAAGTTAAAGTCAATACATATCACTGCTTAAATGTTAGCAGTCAATCATGTCTGAAAGTGTACATGATAGAGTGAGAAAGTTTTAAGGGGATGCAGGACACATGTCGCAGATGACACAATTGACTACGACATAATCCCTATAAATAAAGATGCTAAAAAATTATTTAAATCACCAGTAATTGTGTAATTTTTGTACATTATAATTGCTGTTTATCATCTTACATAAATTTTTGGGTGCGAATCGTTACCACTACATTTTCAAAATTGTCATTACCGCTACATACTCATAACCGCTACAAGAAAGGTTACATTACCGCTACATTTAAAAGTATACATTACCGCTACATTCCTCTTTCATTAGCCAGCGGATTATGCACATACAGATTGATTTAAAGTACAACATATGCATGTACATCCATAAGACCTGTTTCCCCTGCTCACCATGGGGGAGGGGGGGGGGGGGGGTAAGACTTTGAGTGGAATGTTTTTGTTCTTGTTTTCAATTTTTATTTAAAATCTATTTTATTTAATAAAACATTTTAGGAAGTGTTAAAACCGGGCATTGTTCATGGATAAATCACACAGTCTTTACATAATTGGTAGGGCTTTGAAGGCCATTTGCTTGACCTAGTATACTGCTGTCTGGAAATCTCTTATATGAATTAAAATGAATAGATCCGTGCCATTGTTTGCTGATTCGATATGTAGAGGTAATGAGTTGTAATCGGCAATTGTCTTATTGATAAAATGTAGCGGTAATGATCACCGGAAATTTCAAAGAAATGTAGAGGTAATGAGTTGAAATTTTTCGCAATGTAGCGGTAATGTTGACCTCCCAAATTTTTAAAATATTTCAAAGTTTTATCATTCAAAATTTTTCAATATTTACAAATTGTTAAAAAGATTGATCCACTCCTTTGTTTCCTCTACACTGCACGTCTAACAAGTCAGTGACATCGTAATCTAGCTGTTAGTGCAACAAGATCAAGTACATTTTGGTTAGTGCAACTGAAGATCAAGTACGTTTTGGTTAGTGCAATAAGATCAAGTACATGTTGATTACACTGTCAATTTTATTATGTAAAACAGGTGATTGTCAGCTCATATTGAGTTATTAAGTGAAAGAGGAAACACAATGATAATTTTTACTTGGATGGTAGCAGAATTAATTTTTAAAATTTTTTATATAGTATCGCTTGCAACTCGCATGTGATGTCAAAGAAAAATGTAAGCATAAAAGTGTTCTTTCATGATTATGTCATGTATAACGAATTCACAGGGCTATAGAAATAATTATTTTTGTTTACTGGTCACTCGGGCTATCGCCTTAAATTTTTACTGGTCATCTTAGTACTTTTACTCTCCCAATGGGCCAGTAGAGTTTAAAAAGACTGGCCCAAAACCATAATAATAATTGTAATATTTTTTTTATATTGGATACTTAGAAGTACAATTTAACAAAACAAGAAACAGCAGAAATTGGGACACACAACCCTGTCAAGTTAACTAGCTTGACTGTGAATGAATTTTATTTTGTATAAGAAAATGCTGACCCAAAGGGCACATGCTTTTTGCAATGTACTAGCTCAGATTGAAAATTCACTGGCCCCAGACCAGCGGGCCATCAATTAGTTCAAGCCCTGATTCAAATATGATTCCCCATGCTCAAATTAAGCTAAAATGAATAATGAAATTGGAATCATTAATAATAACTATTTATCATTTTATTATGTATGAGTTTAATCCAACAATCCTCTAAAAGAGATTTCAGGTAGTCTTTACTGCAATTGTCAGTCTTCAAGCATCCATTACAGATCTCAATTTTTTCATAATTATATTTAAATTTCAGTTTGTATGGTAACTGTATATCATGCAGTTTCAATTAAAGTACAGTGTCATAAGCTCACAGACTTGTCGAAAACTGTCGGTCCTGTCGGCTGATAAAATTTGCTTGCATGGACCTATAACCTTCAAGAAAACAGCGGTCCAAATGACCTTATAAAAAAATCGAGCATGACGCAAATTTTAA